AAGCACTTAACTGCCACCAGGGCTCCTTCTCTGAAGTCTTGTGATTGTTGTTAAGTGCCTTTGAGTCGATTCTGAATCATAGTGGCCCTGTATAGGGTTTCCAAGGTGCGGCTGATGGGTTTCAACTGCCAAACTTGAGGTTAGCAGTCCTGTGCTTATCCCACACCACACAGTGCCACACCATGACTTTGAAGTCTTAGCCAATGAAAAATAATACAGTGATTTGCGGATTTCAGTTTGTCACCAATTTCTGTGGGTAGACTTCTATTAGTAATTCTGAGTTCTTCTGTTCTGCTTCTTACCTGCTAAAATCTTTCCTGCCTTTACACAGAATTTCCAAGTATAAAGAAAGAACAGTCTATCTGATAAGCTGTATGTTGCAATTTTCACAAAGTTGTTAGACTATTTTACATAGAAGCTATGGCTTTTTACAATTGCAAGGGAATCCTTTGCCTTTCTGTATGATTTATTTTAAGTATAAAATAAATCAAAAGTTAGGAAAGCATACAACTTGATGATGACAGGTATTTTGATTTTAAGACAGTGTGTTCATAGATACTTAATCCAGGATATATTTTTCACTTAAAAAGTTGTTAGTTATTTTTTAGTTTAGACTTTAGAGATTAAGGAACCACAAGCAAGGCAGATCATTGTCTTCTATAAAGTGTCTTTCTAAAAGAAGAAAGAATAGAGCTTAGCAGCATTCTGAAAACTGAACTAGTTGATCACAAATGAAGAGTAAATAACCAGATATTGTAATTGTATTAAATATAACCATATCTAGCAAGTCATTTATTTCACCGTTTGTTCCATTTTCTCTTTTCCTTTCCCCCCTCAACTCTCTAAGCTAATTTGATCCCATTTGCATCTTTTGTGGTTTACCGGGTTTTGAGATTGAAAGACCAGAACCCAAAAATCACTAATGTTCTGAAATACTGCATTATTCTTTCAGTCTAATCTCTTATTTACATGCAGCCGAAGAATATAACTTAATATTACAGAGCAGTATATTTTTGTTATAGGCATTATTCTTTTATAAGACATTAATTCAAGTCCATTTTCCCCTCCAGTCTAAACAACCTTGAGTACAAACATTATATAATCTCATCTATGGATTTTCTGAAGTTTTAAACATAATGCTATAAAATTTCATCCTTAACTCTTAACTAGAATTTTTAAAAGAAGTATTAATCCATGATTTCCAAATATTATTGGAACCTGTTTTTGAGTTCATTGTTTTCCATGAAGCAGCAAAACATAAAATCTTCATAATTTGCGTATTTGTATTTTATATATAACATAGAATAATAATTCAAACCCTGTGCTTAACTTCAATGTTTATGTACTAGTAAAGTTAAAATACAATTCCTAAAAGTATTATGAAATAAAGAATAGATATGTTTCCTAATTGTCCATTGCTAAGCTTACGACCTGATGTGGCTCTGCAGGATAAGCACTAGACTGCTAACTGCAAGGCCAGTGGTTCAAACCCACAAGTTGCTCCTCGGAAATTCCATACAGGGTCGCTATGAGTTGGAACAGACTTGACAGCACCTAATAACAGCAATAAACTTAGGCACATAAGAAAACTTTATTTTTGTTTTATGTGTAATGTAGCAGTTAAAGCATAGACTTTGCAGTCAGATGGCCTGAGTGAATTCTGCCTCTACTCCTTACTAGATGTGTAAATGGGTCCCGGTGAGATGATTCAGGATCAGCATCAGACTGTGAATCACCAAGTCGGCAGTTCAAACCTATCAGCTGCTCCTGGGAAACCCTATATATGGTCGCTATGAGTCAGAACTGACTTGAGGGCACTTAACAACAACAACAACAAAATTACTTAAATTCTCTCAAACCTCAGTTTCCTCATATTTAAAAGGTGAATATTAATACCTAGAGTCATTATGAGGACTATGCATATAAGGATTCCTGATGTGGTCCTGTCAGATCAGCACGGGTCTGCGAACCACAAGGTCAGCAGTTCAAACCCACCCGCTGCTCGTCAGAAATCATATACAGGCTCACTCTGAGTTAGAACTGACTCCATGGTACTTAATGATGACAATGACACATATAAAGCTCTTCAGCACTAAGTTCTGAATAAATAGTTGTTGTTGTGTTGTTTTGTGCCGTGGAGTCGGTTCTGACTCATAGCGACCCTGTGCAGGGTTTCCGAGGCTGTAAATTTTTATGGGAGCAGAAAGCCTCCTCTTTCTCCTGCAGAACAGCTGGTAGTTTCAAACTGCTGACCTTGCGGTTCGTAGCCTGATTCGTAACCACTACGCTACCAGAGCTCCTTCAATAAATGGTAGTTACTAATAAAATCATAAGTGCAGTATTGGACAGCAAAACATTATACTGTCACTCTTTAAAGAGGCACCTTATAATTGCTGACTCGAAAATGAGTCCAGATAATAAGTATTTGTATATCTTAAGACATGTCTCCTTCTGTTCATCTCTCTGAAACTCTTGATTCTTATTATCATATTAAGCAAAAGAATTAAGTCAAAGAAAAAGTAAAACCAGACTTGTCTATGTGTATATGTGCAAACACATACACACACACCCTTCTAAGTATGTATTATACAAGTTGAGGAAGTTGTGTAGCAACATCAGGAAAAAGTCACAAAGTAAACAGGAAGACCCATAAACTACAATAAGGGTAACAAGGTATATAAATGCTGGCAAATTTCCAAGTTCAGCTATGAACAATTCATTCATTATCACATCATCATCAGAAAAATATACTGTAATTCTTCCGGTAATTACCCTTGGAGGTAATTACCACAAATTCCAAAAAGTTATATATTCCTGTCCCATGTCAATATAGGCAAAATAATTTCACATTTTCTTTAAATAAAACCAAGTTGTGACTACAGTTACGAGTACTAAAGGTTTTTAGTATGTAATAGGTGATATTTCTAGTATGTATTAGGTGATAATGGGATTTCTGCCAGAATTTCAAGAAAAAGTAAAGAGGGTTCCTATCTATCAACTCTGACTTCTCAAATATAAAATAAAATTGAAACTTTATAATAGACTTCCACTTCTAAAAATGCATTCCTTGGAACAGTAAAAGGGTTCTGCAATAAGTCTGGAATCATTGTATTCTCTGTCTTTCTCTCAGAGATATACAAGCCTATTAACATAAAAGGTTCTGAGAAGTCTTACAGTGAAGACAGCTGTTTAAATGTTTAACCAATGTTTCCCAAATGTATTGGTTCATAGAAGCCATTTTCCAAATAATGTTTAAGAACAAGTGTTCCTTATAAAAGCATTTTGGAAAATGTGCGATAAATTGCTTTTCATTTATTATTAGAAGAGTACATGCATATGTACATGTCCAAGAAGAGATACTCACTGGCAGAATTTGCTAACATTCCAAAATGAGACTACTGTATTTCATGTCAGAAAAAAACAAAAAGACTAATATGCCTAGACTAGTACTTATACTATGCTTAACAAGTTGCATTTATTTCCAGAATGAGTATTTTGACCCCCTTACTGCTTGGAGTCCTGGTATGGCACTGTGGGTAAATATGCCAGACTGCAAAGTCGTTTGAACTGCAAGGTCAGTGGTTCAAGCTCACCAGCTGCTCCTCGGAAACCCTATACAAGGGTGGCTATGGGTCGGAACCGACTCGACAGCACTTAACAACAACAACAACTGCTTGTATGGAGTCCTGGTGTGGCGCTGTGGGTTAATGCACCAGACTGCAAAGCCATTTGAACTGCAAGGTCAGTGGTTCAAACTCACCAGGCTGCTTCTCGGAAACCCTATACAGGGTTATTATGGGTCGGAACCAACTCGACGGCACTTCACAACACAACAACAACTGCTTGTATATTACTTAATAAAGTTCAAACTCTCAATTTCTAGTACCTGTGACAAACTAAGAATAAATGTGATCAACAAAAACGCTGCTTTTCCATTCAGACTTTACTATAAGCAGCTGTGAGTTACAGCACACTTTCAAATACAACACTACTAAACAATATCACCAGCATTTTATTAACTGGTGCTATGAACCTGCGTTTATGCAACTCTACAGTAAAATGATGAACATTTCACAGCATTGACTCTAACCTTATTACTTCATTCTTTTAACATCTTTATTAAGTGTACAGAGCAAAATACTGTCATTACTACTTTACCTATGGAGGTTAAGCAATTTGCCCCAAGTACCAGTAGTTAGCAAGGACAGATTTCTTGTAGAACAGACAGTGCATATTGCAACTATAGAAACTATATCAGATAATCACCTTAAAATATGAACAAAAACAGGAAATTCCTTTACTAACAACATAAGGACGTTTCTTCTCTTGAAATAATTTTGGAACATAATTTGCTAGAAATCTACACTTGAGCAAAAACATTTTAGATGGCATGCTAGATAGCATTTTTGTGAGTTCAGAAATTAGGAACAAAGTCTTAACAACCATAATGTGATATTCATTACTTGTCATTGTGTTTGATGAAACAAAATCAGTAAGTTACAATTAATGCTGGGTGAAGTGTGAATGTGAATGATTATGCTGCCAGGATGTGGCAACACTTTCTTCTGAGGTTCTCCCGTCGATTTCACAAGCACATAAAAAAGTAAGACAAATGTGTAAAATGAAATAGACACCAACTATTTTTTAAATCTCCAATAGGGAAAACATAATTATGGCTATTATGATAAGTAATACATTTTGGTAACCCATGGATATTTGGTCATAGATTTCAAGTTAGACAAAGTAAACTGGTCACTGGAAGGAAAACAACAACAACAAACACCTGAAAACATCTATGGTAGAATATATATAATCATAGTATCTTAAGATAATATATGACACTAACATTGTACTGGAATTAAGGTAAACAGTCAAAGAGAGGAAAAAATTCTGACATTAAAGAAGTCAAGAACGTTAACATTTCAGCTAAGGAAAAGAAGTTAAAATATCAAGTTCAAACTTTAAATGTAGTAGCAGAGGTAACAAAAATTAGTCTTCACCTGGTAAGTGTGTACTCCCTGAGTCCTGAATGCAAATTCATGGCAGAAAAAGTACCTATGCATCCACGCAATCTTTTGTCTCGACCAATCTTCCATGTTACAAACAGTGGGCTGTAATGGAAGATAAAAAATGTGGTTAAATCAATTCAAATAATTATTGAGTACTTACTATACACAAGGTTAGATGCCTGACATATAAATACCAAAAGAGAGAAACTCAAGGCTCTGAGTCTAGTCCAATAGGACCAGACTTAACAATAAAAATAGCTGTATTCTATTGAATGCCATGATAAATGTCTTAAACAAATGATTTCTTTTGCTTCTCACTTTATCAATGAATTAGCCACAGAGTTAGTATATAATAATGAAGAAGGTATTCAAACCTGGGCAATCTTGACTAGTGTCTTCATCATCACAATCTATGGCATTATTCTTCATTTAAATCTCAAGTTATGATTGTTTCATAAATCTAACTTAGAAAACTAGGGAAAAATCAACAAATTCAGCAAATAATTACTGATTACATAGAGGCAAAACACTGTGAAAGGTGCTGTAGGAGAAACAAAAATACCTAAAAATGCAGCCGTTGCCATGTAAATTGCTACAATTTCATGAACTTGACCTATACTTATTGAAGTAGTAGCACCAATTACCAACTGAGAGGGAAGGAGTCTTCACATAAAGTATCAATCCTATCACCTCTGTATATAGGGTAGATTATTGTTGTTGTTATGTGCCGTGGAGTCAGTTCTGACTCATAGCGACCCTGTACTGGGTTTCCGAGGCCGTGAGTCTTTACAGAAGCAGAAAGCCTCATCTTTCTCCCGAGGAACAGGTAGTTTCGAACTGCTGACCTTGTGGCTCACAGCCTGATTCGTAACCACTACGCTACCAGAGACGGGCAACTCAGGCATTGGCTACCTAAAATGAGGGGATGATAAAGACATGAAGTGACTGGCCTACAAGTTTTCAAGAGGGAGTTTTTAGTTTAAGAGTGTGCGGGGGAAGATAGAGTCCCCACTGAATAGTTTTCATCTTGTCTAGACAGGTCTGGTGAAAGAGATGATGATAAGATTCTTATGATTCAATAGTGAGTAACTGTTATTATGACTAATTGTGACTGTCACAACTATAAAGGTAGAAGTTCTGTAACAAACACAGGGGATTACTTAATCTTATAGTCCAGAAACAGAGGACCCTAGGACCATTAAGTAAGAAGAGCACAACCTGTATGCTGAACAAATAATCTGAGAAGCTGGGTTATATGAAGAAAAACATGGCATCTGGATTGGAGGAACTCTCATTAACAACCTATGATATGCAGATATCATAGGTTGCTGAAAGTGAAGAGGACTTAAAACATTTACTGATAAAGATCAAAGAGCACAGCCTTCTGTATGGATTGCGTCTCAATGTAAAGAAAATGAAAATCCACACCATTGGACCAATAAACAACATTCTTAGCAACGGAGGAAAAAATTGAAGTTGTCAAGGACTTCATTCTTCTTAGATCAACTATCAGCACTCATGGAAGCAGCAGTCAAGAAATCAAACGACGTATTATATTAGGCAAATCTGCTGCACAAGAGCTTTTTAAATTGTTGAACAGCAAAGATGTCAGCTTGAAGACTAAGGTGTGCCTGATTCAAGCCATGGTATTTTCAATAACCTCATATGCATGTGAAAGCTCGACAGTGAATAAGGAAGACCATAGAAGAATTGATGCTTTTGAGTGAGTTATGGTGTTGGAGGAGAATACTGAAAGTGCCATAGGCTGCCAAAAGAACCAACAGATCCGTGTTGGAAAAAGTGCAGCCATAGTGCTCCTTGGAGGCTAGGATGGCCAAACTTCGTCTCTCATACTTTGGACATATTGTCTGTCAGGAGGGACCAGTTGCTGGAGAAGGATATCATGTTTGGTAGGGTCAAGGGTTAGAGAAAATGAGGAAGACCCCCAGCGAGATGGATTGGCCAAGTGGCAGCATCAATGGGATGACTTGATAGCATCTAACAACAACAACATTCCAGAGAAGCAGAGACTCCAGAGATAGAGGCAGAGATGAGGACATGGAGAGAGACAGCTGCTGAGGACTCTAGACTCATGGAAAGAGAGGGACTGAGTGCTGGCGGCCAGGAGGCAGGCTCGCAGAATGTGCCCTTTGGTTGTTTAAATTATTGTATATTCCTGAGTGTTTTTGTGTACACCCCCCTGTCCCCCTACCCCCCAAACAAACAAACAAACAAACAAACAAAAAACAGAGGGAATGGAAGCAAATACTGTTGAATGATGATGCATGGAGGCGATTGTAATCACTGCAATGAAACTATGGTGTAAAGTTAATGTTCTTCCATGTAAACTATCACTCAGGTCACAGGAAAAAAAAAAAATGCAGGCATTGCTCTCTAGGAGCTAGTACAGGAGGCAGATATGTTCACAGCTAACTATAGTACAAGACAAAAACAAATAAGTACCATAAACTAAGTCCAAAATGCCCTAAATTAAGCTACTGGTATAGAAGAAAACTTCATGGAGTTTACTAATACGCACCTTGGTTTAGAAAAATCAGTAAAGTTTGGAATGGGGAAGAGCAATAGCAACATTAAAGCCCCTTGCTGTCTAGTCCATACTGACTCAGAGCAACTGTATAAAACAGATTAGAACTGCCCACAGGGTTGCCAAAGCTGTAATTTGTACAGAAGCAGACTGCCACATCTTTCTCCAACAGAGTAGCTGGTAGGTTCAACCTGCCAACCTTTTGGTTAGCTACCAAAAGTTTCAACCACTTCTGTCACATGGGTTCCTAATATCCGCATTCACAAACTAATACTCTGAAACTATAAATTTTACTTTAATTTTTAGATAAAATTATTGCCTAATAATACAATTTGTCAAGCATCAAAGATAAAAGTATAGATTATAATCAAATATCATCAAGAAGGTACGTAGTTTCAAATATAGTTTAATATAGATGTTTGGATTCTTCAACAAACCACTGACATCCTCAGTGAATACTTAAGTCTATGTCAATTTTTATAAAATGACGTAATTCAAACATTTTAGGATATTTTATAAACAGAGAAATATCCTAGAGTTGGCGTGGTCCATATTAACATGAGTGTTCACCACATTACTGGTATATTTCCACTTTCTAAAAATTTAAATTTTAGTGGCACATATCATACCTTATGTATTTCTTTACAATACCCTCTTTTAAAATACCCTCTAGCCAGTCATCAATAATTGGATGAAAAGATATCCTGTTCAAGTGCTTCATCGCCCACCTCAAACATTTAAATTCTGCTGAATTCTGACAGACTGTCATGAAAGCAGATAAGTTCACAAATAAATAATGAATACAAACCAGGCAGTAATCAATAGTCAGAGCTACCTTGTTCATATGCTCAGGGGCATTGAAAAAGATGACTTACAAGGCCAAGTTAACTGTCAAAGTCATTAAAATGCTGGATGATCTATGGTAAAGGTGCTAAAGTAAAAAGCAAATGGTGAAGGCAAGGTTTTCTGCTTTATACAACATATAACTCAAGACAAGATACCAATGGTCTAGTTAGAGAATTTTCTTGAATTGCTCTTCACTAATACAGGCAAGTCCCCAGGTTACAAAGGAGATCCATTCCTTACTGTGTCTTTAAGAATGTGTAGTTAAGTTGAACCAGGTGCACACAGTCTTATTTAAGCTTTACTTTAGAGCAAGAAGGAGTCCCAGTGGTGCTGTGGGCTAGGCCTCCAAGATTTACCATCTTAGAAATACTATACAGGGCTGCTATGAGTCAGAATTAACTAGAAGGGAGTGGGTTTGAGTTTTGTGAAAGAAAAGGCTTGGAGGCTTTTCAATGATTTAAAAGCTGCATGCGCAGCAGGTGAAGAATTTGTTGAGAATAGGAGTTGGTTGGCTACTTTCAAAATGAGGGCATGAGGCCATAAGGCAGATGTTAAGAACCAGAAACAGCCTGTGGTTCATTAGGAAGACAAGAATTAGATGGACCTTCCTACTGGAGTCCTAGTATGGCACTATGGTTTAACACGCTGGACTGTAAAATCCGTTTGAATGGCAAGGTCAGCAGTTCAAGCTGACCCGTCGCTCCTCAAAACCCTATACAGGGTCATTACAGGTCAGAACCGACTCAATGACACTTAAAAACAACAATCTTCTTACTAGAGTTGTGGTGTGGAGCTGTGGATTAATACATTGGACTGTCAGGTCGGTTTGAACCTTAAGGTTGGTGATTAAAACTCACCAGCCGCTCCTTGGAAACCCTATACAGGGTCGCTATGAGTGGGAACTGATTTGAAGGCACAACCTTCATACTAGTTTTTTTATTACTCATACAAACACGGTTGTTGTTGCTATTAAATGCCGTCGAATCGGTTCGAACCATAGCAACCCTGCATAGTAACCCTGCATAAGATTTTTGAGGAGCAGATGATAAACTTGAACTGCCAACCTTGTGGTTCAAACCAACTTTGCAGTCCCATGCATTAACCCACAGTGCTACACCAGGACTCTCATAAAACAATGTTGTTGTTTTTAAGTGCCGTTGAGTCAGTTCCAACCCATAGCGACCATGTATAGGGTTTTCATAGGAGCCATGTGGTTCAAACTCACCTTGCAATCCAGCACATTAACCCACAGCACCACACCAATGCATCTTTTAAGATGAATTTCACCTCTTCATTTTTCACTTTCTAATGTGCTGCAACTGAAAGTCAGCAAGAGTTTTTATGGTCAGTAAAATATCAATCCTCTCCTATAACCACGTCTAGAGAAAGTTTCTCTACATAAGCAGGTCCTTTGGCAGCTTCAGAAGAAACTGAATCATACTGTAACATACACAATCACATCTTTAAAATACCATGAAGACTTCTCAGCAAAACAAAACTAAGTCATGTACTTTCTTCCTCAGTGACTTGAGTGAGAAACCTAAAATCATGAGTCAATTGATTTCCTATCAAAAACACTACAAGTGAAAGTTATTTAAAAGTACCTTTGTAGCACTGGACAGCTAACGTCAAGATTGGCGGTTGAAATCTACCAGCAGTACCACAGGAGAATGAAGAAGCTAGCTACTCCGATAAAGATTTATCGTCTTGG